AGCCCGCAGCAGTAGCAGTTGCAAGGTGCTGGATTGTGGGTTCTTGCCTGCACAGGTTGCCCCTCTTCCGTCAGCTCGATGTGATCCTCCCCTGCATTGGTGCCATCGATTTTTCTAAATGGATGAAAAGAGAGAAAATAAAAATACCTTTTTGTCCCAGTGAAACTTGCTAAAACAGCTCTGGGCAGTTACATGCTCCAGTCAACTGCCAAATCACCACCTTGCGAGACATTTGTCTCTTGGTGGTATGGCGGGTGAATGCCGGGCAGGCTTTGAAAGGTGAGCATAGACTGCACTGTTTTCATGAATGACCTCTAAAGTTTGTGAATCTGAGACATCCAGCAGGACAGCTGGCTGCAAAATGTCCACAGGTTATTCACGAGCATAACTGTAAGAGCTGAGCTGAGTTCAGTTGTGGTGAATTCTGCTGGTTGTTAGGAAAATATGCATATGAAGAAGTTAATCATAATTTCTAATTAGATCCACTAAGCCGAGCAGGCAGTAGGTTTAAAGAAAAGGGCAAATACAACAAAAGCATGGGTTTGTTCAGCCCCAAAATCCCTGTAAATTTGTTATCACCTGTGAGGCAAAAATTAGGACTATACTGAAGAGGCGAAAAAGCTCTGGCATTAGAGCCCCTATTTAAGATGTTGAAGAGCCAAGCCCAGACTTTCTCTGCCTGAAGGGATTTGAAGTCACATGTCCCCTCTTCTCTGAAACTTCTTCTCACCACAAGGACTTATGTCATTGCAAAGTGAAGCCCTGCAACACCTGTTGTTGAACATACTTTGTGTAAAATATCTAATATTAAATGAGATGTGAAGGAAGACGGTGACTTTCTGCTGATTCACAACTCCTCAGCAGTGGAGACTGAAAGGGCTTTACCTTTGATGTGGCAACTGCAGAGCACTCGGGAGGAACTGGGACAGAAGATGCCAGGGATGCAGGCTCTCCCATTTACTTGAGATAGCAGCAGATGGTACCCACCTATTTCAGCCTGTGAGAGGTTGTTCACCAGCTACGCACTAATATGGGAGTATTCTCCAGTTTTACGCATCCAGCCTTTCCCTTTTCATACAAGCACCCCAGCTAAGAGATTCATATTGAAGAAAATGGAACTTCCATGTAATCTGGAAGTTTACCATTATTAGTGCCATTAAAAATTGATTTGGTCTCTCAGTCTGACTGGGACTGTTAACACCCCATGCTGCTGGAACAGGAAATGTCTCTGGTAGAAAAGTTGTGGTAAAAGAACAGAACAAGCACCCCTGGACTAAAGCTAAGTACACCCTTTCCTAACATTAGCTTCCCATGCATTTGTTTGAATTGGGTTTTCTGAGATGCAGAAACACTTAAGCGCATAGTTATCTGTGAATCCATTGACCACTACCCACAAGCTTAAGTGTTTACTAAAGGAGGCTTAAAGCAGTGGCTACATTACAAAGACTCAGTTTTGTCATTGCGCTGAAACATTAAACTCAGGATCTAGCTCTTTTTGTGTCTGCCATGGAGCTATTCTCAGTACTGTGAAAATATGAACAGTTACTTAATCTAAAGGAAGCCCAACTTGCCATATGAGATGATGAAATGATTTCATTCACTCTTTCCTGATAAGGAATAACTCACTGCTTTCTTTCACACATCTGGCTGGGTGTATATGAAATCTGATGCACTTTGGTTTTCTATATACAGATCATCTATAAAAAATGTCAACAGAGCACACATGGATGGGTTACCCTTCACTGATGTACATAGTAGCTGGTCGGGTCTTTTGGGAGAACAGTGTTGGTTTAATCACAGCTTTGTCCTCTTGCAGTAAGTCTAATGTAAATAATGTAATAATCTCACAGATAGTACTCTATACTAAAGGGTTTGCAAATATAGGTGGTAAGTGTGGATTCCTGGGTGCTTCATATGGATTTAAATATATCTATCCAATATGAAGTTTCACTTAAAAATCTCAGCATTTCTACGTTTTAGAGCTACAGTATAACTGGTGCATCATTTACTCTATTATTCTTTTTTACATAAAATCATAAACCCACTACTTTAGCTTTAGTCTTAGCAAAAAGAATGAAAGTATGTTGCAGTCCATCAGCTCAAATGTCCAAGAAACACTAAAATCAGAGTGGTTTGGACCAAAAAAGGAACTCCCAGTATTATTTGATTTGATCCCTTGCTCAAAGCAGTGCTAATTGCAAACTTGGATCATTAGCTCCTCGTCAGGCTGGAGGGAAGACTTTGTATTAAGGCAAGGTAACACGGGAAATGTGATATTACTGTGGTGTTATTGAAGGTGATTGAGATCTTATGATTCACTGGCAGGGAAACAGCATTTGTTAGTGAAATGAGAGTACAGAGAGTAATGCAGACTTTAAAAAGAAGACACAACGTATTCCATGCTCCTTGTGCTAGTGTAGATAGGTGAAACCTGGGTAAAATATCAAAAACAAAGACCTCAGGAAGTGAGAAGACAATTGAATAATTATTTTAAGATAATTTTAAGAACTAAATTTTAAGAGTTTAAGTTTGAAGAACTATTGTAATTTCAAAAAAAGTTATTAAAAAAAAAACCAAAAGAAGTAATTGTATTGTCTTCCTCGAAGATAACCAAAGATATTGAATGAATGAAATGAAAGCACAATTCCTCAATTTTTTGTACCTTTACCAGGCTTTCTATTCATAGCAGAGACATTAGGTGTTAATTAGTGTATTATTCTGGGCAGCTTCTTCAAGTTAATGACTGATCTGTGACTGCAAATCCACACAGGACATTTCATTCCACACAGGACATTTCATACCCCAAGGATTGATGTAAACCCCTCTATAGTGGATTTGTCTTGAAGAGAAGTATTTTGTTTATTAGCAGTCCAAAAATTGGAGCTGTGATGAAGCATTAGCAGTGCAGACATTCACAGAGCCAGTGTCTGACCTGGATTTTGGCTTTATTTTGTATATAAGGAATATATGACAACTCTGAAAATATGAGAAATGTGCCTTCCAATTGATCCATATATTTTGGTAGTGCTACTGAATATTTTCACTTGTTATACACCAACAATTTAGAAGAAAACTGCTTCATAGCCAGTGCTCTCCTCTAATTATCTGACTGATGCAGGAGAGCGTTTTGCTTTACAAGAAATGTTCAGTCCTTACATCACCCTTATTCATTTTCTCAGCAAACATGGAACACTTGGCAAGTAAGAAGAGCTAAGCTATTTGAAGACATGTTCTGTGCCCACGTCATAATAACTGTATGCAAAATTTCTGTATTGAGTGACTACTCTGGTTTATACGGAATTTTGGAAGAATGAAAAACATTTCAAAAATCCCCATCAGTGATAAATAAAGTTCCTAGAACACATACACATTCAGTAACCTGTATTTATGGGATTTTAGCATTGGAATTAAACTATTTCTTGAAATGATAAGGTAGGTGGACTAGAATCATACCATTTAATTTTATTTGATTAAAACCACATAGATTCTACAGTAACAGGCAAATGTTAACACTTGCCATGTGTTAGAACACATTGTAGAATGACTTTTACCAGATAGCGCTGTCTTCCACAGGCAGCTGCAACACAATCGTATAAAATGTTCAAACCTCACACACGCATAAACCCAGCATCAGTCATCACATGCAATAATTACTGATGTTCTCGGCATAACTTCAGAAACCTACACACCGACTATCAAAAAATATCATTTATCCAAAAGCAGATAGAATCTTCTGAGGTCCCATTTACTCCCTAGGCATCTGCCCAGGTGATAATTTGCCATACCAAATCCTGAAATGGATATATTGGTACAAAACCACAGTGCAGACAGGAGAACCCTTTCAAGTTAGTGCATGGAGCTCTCTGGATGGCTTCTGCATGGTATTTGCCTGAAACTAGAGGCATGTCTTAAACGTATGCACCACGGGTCTGCTTCTCACAGGTGCTGCACTCCCAGGCTGTAGGGCAGCCTTGCAGGTTCTCCCCAGCACAGCTTCAATGCTCTGGAGGGATGCACCTTGGGTGCTGCAGTGCAATGCTGCATAAGTTTATTGTGCCCTTGCACTAACACCATTGTACAAGGGGCCTAGCACGACTCCCAGAATAACTGAGTCTGGGCAGCCCACATTGTGTTCACAGTGCTGAAGTGTCTGCCCTGCAAAGATTAAGTTTGAGAGCACTAATTCTGTGACCCAGCTCAAGCAAAGGAGCCCTTTCCAAAGCAAGGGCCCAGGATACATACAACAGTGATGTGGCCCACATGATTTTCCACATTAACAGTGACATTACTGAGTTGTAAACCTGCTTGGTCACTTCCCATTTTATCTGTAAGCCCACAGCTGCTGTTAGCTGGTCCAAGACTCCTGAAATCCTCAGAGTAGGCACAGCCTGTGATTTTCCTTTAGTTCATAAATTTTACTTTGAGAACACTGAGTTCACAGAAGGCCCAAAGTGTCCGTGCCAGCCACAAAGCTCTGTAGGAAAAAAGCTTTCTTTTCTGGGAAACTTGAGGCTTGAGGAGCCTCAGCTCTGATACACATTCACCCAAGCCTTGAATCCTCTAAAATTCATGGGGTTTCTGCTACCCCAATGTATGGAAATAACCAAGAACAAACCCAATTTTGCATAAAAAAAATATTTTATATGAAACATCTAAAACATTGTCTGAGATCTCACAAAGGAAACCACTAGCAACAGCGTCATGAAAGGACCTCTCAGGTCTCTGCACTTCACAGAATCACAGAATCACAGAATCCTAAGGGTTGGAAGGGACCTCAAAAGATCATCTAGTCCAACCCTCCTGCAAGAGCAGGGTAACATAGGGTACATCACACAGGGACTTGTCCAGGCAGGCCTTGAATATCTCCAATGTAGGAGACTCCACAACCCCCCTGGGCAACCCATTCCAGTGCTCTGTCACTCTCACAGTAAAGAAATTTTTCCTGATGTTCACATGGAGCCTCCTATGCTCCATTTCAGGTGCCCTTGCCTCCCTTCCAGGATCTAGCTGGCCTAAAGTAACATCCTGTGTGCAGATGCTTGTTTTGCAGCACCCACAAAATAATATGAGGTTACTACACACCTGCAAGGAGTCAGTAAATTGCTTCATGCTGTTTGTTCTTTAGCACTTGAACTTGTTTCTGGACAATCCCTATGGAGCACCCACTACCTGGTAGGTGGTCTTGCCAGGCACTGGCATCTGGATATGCTCTGTTGTTTGCAACAGAGGAAATGTCGTAGGAAAGCATAGATTCGTCATATTTACCAAAGCTAAGATGGATTTTTCTACCCACTTTGCTAGTTTTGATCCCACATCAACAAACGGCAGTCAGTGGAATCACACTTGGAGACCAAATCAGGGATGTGCATTAATGTAACTAATCCCCTATCAAATACTAGCAGAGAAACTAAATTCTTTGCCTATTTACACCATATTAAAGCCAACTGAAGTGGATGAAGAGCAAAGTCAAGGTTGCAGCTGGGAATACACATACACACCATCATGTAAAAATAGAAGTGTATGCTCCTGCTTGTATGGTAAACTATAGAGAATGAAGTTCAAGTCAAAGAAATGCATGTTTCATTCCTTACAGAATCCTTTAAATATGACTTCATATTTCCAAAGAGACTGCTCAACTTGCAGCAATTTTTACTCAGGTCTGATTGCAGACATAGTAAAAAAAACCTTATTGTTAGGATTATTTCCTCCACCCACTACTACATCTAAGAAAGGTGCTGGTTACATATATTTAAAACAGAAAATAATGAAGTCCAGCAAACTTTCTTGTATGATGACTGAGATTATGTTTTGTTTGATTCAATAGCAATGTTGCTGAAGCTGGATGCCAATACCATGGGCTGTGTAGGAACCAGCATGACATCCTTGATACATACCTACAAGAGGAGAGTAATCTGGATAATTTGAAATTTGCATACCATTTCCACATAGCAACCCCAGTGCAGTGACACATCACATAGCCACTAAACACAAACCCTACGTGTATCGGGTCACAGACAGCAGAGCACGCGCAAAAATAACTTGTGATTGAATAAATGACTTAACCTGATGTTTTAAAAGAAAAATGGAATCCCTAGAATTACTATAGAGTGTCATAAAAGTAAAAAAGGAGCAAAATGTCAGACCTCCTCTGTAACACTATAAATGAAGAAAAGTTGAAACTCTGGAACACAGATACTCTCTTCACATGGTATAGAAATAGTGTAACTGGCAATGTATCAGGGCATGTTAGTAACTTCTTTGAAGGTGTACGTGATTGTTTTCTTTCATATACATGTACATTTTCATACATTTTCTTGTGATCAAAGGCATGTTTATATGTGACGAGCACTGCATCTTGACTCAAAATAGCATTCCCAAAAAAAAGGTGAAGAGGTGGATATGAAAGCAAATAAATTCAGTCACTAAAATTGCATTCAGATAAAATGTTGGCGTGATCTGTACAGACATTTAAAACACTTAACATTAAGCATGCAAGAAATTACATTGAACTCTCTGACTCTCATCTATTGATTACACACATAAATGTTGTCAGTGACCATTCCTAATATGATAGTCTCATTTAAATGAGAAATCTCTTTCCCTTTATGAAACTCATCATTTGTTACATTGTATTTTCACTTATCAAAAAATAAGTATCTTTCCCTTTGTTCTTTCATAAACTGTCAGCTTAAGACAAAAATCTTTACTCTTTTTTGCTCTTTTTGTCAGCAAACACCTGCTTCTCCTTTGTCTCTTTCTGATTTGCTAGTCCCAGCGGACACACACGCGCCCATCTCTACTTAACACATATTCTCTTATTGATTCAGAGCATGATTTAAAAAAAAAAAAAAAAAAAACACAAAACCCTGCAATTTAAGAACATTAAGTCTTAATTTAAGAACATTAAGTGGCATCATTTGGGAGGGTTAATTCCCATTAAATCATCAGTTTTCCTTATGCAAGTTAAACCACAGAATTATTCACATTTAATTATTTAAAAGTTTTTTATTAAAACACATTTTCATGCTCTTTCTAATATCAGAACATTATTTTATAATTTATTTTCACCTTTTTTGTTTAATATAAATATTCTATCATCTGTAGTCACATGCTGTTGTGACTTGTGAGCTTGTAACAAGGCTCCTTTTATATCTTCTGTCTTGCAAAGAGGTGTCTCTCACTATCTGAACTTCAGTATTAATTTCGCAAGTCTAGATTCTGTTTTATGTTTACACATTTTTCTATACTTTACTTATACTACATTTATTTATACTATTTCTCTTTAATAAGTTGAACTAATGGACCTGTCTGGGAATTTCCTGTTGGATTTTTACCTTCTCAGATTCCCCAGCGAGTCACTAATGGTGTTCTTCACCTCTTCTTTTCCTGGGTTAAGAAATCTTTCCTTCAGCGAAACAAATCCTTTGAAAGGCATTTTGTCTTTCTTCTTCAGTAAATCCCTTATGCTAACAAGCATTCACTTCTGCTGTCATATTTCCCGATGCCAGACTTGGGAGCCTCCGCTGGTCCCCTCGGTGACCTCTGCAGTAACAACCAATTGCTCAAGAAAGGAGCACAGAAGAAAAATAAATAAGAAAAATCAAACCAGATCTTCCCTCCAAAGCCAGAAGCCGGCTGAGAAGAGAGAGCTCTGGAGCAAACCCCCTCAGAAGCACTCAGGGACTCAGCATCGCAGTTGCAGCAGCTCTGCCTGCACCTGTGCAGGGTCACGTACCTGTCTGAGGCAGTGTGTTTGGAAGCAGGAGCTGGAGGTGCTGCCAAAGGCTGGTGTCCCTGCGCAGGACACAGCTGCCTGCTTCACGGGGGAGCCTCAAGCTGGCTCACTGGGGCTCATCCTCAGTGTCTCCCTCCCTCCCTCCCTCCCCTGCCTCTTTCAAGCCGAGATCCTGTGCAAAGTGGTGCTATAGTAACAGACACAATACCTGTCCTCGAGCCACTCCAGTTCATTAATAAGACCACATCTATGTCACAGGCGAGAAGTTTATTAAACATTTACAAGTCCTTTCTGCAGGGAGGGAACTACTGCAAGCTGGTTCCCATTCACTATGTACCCCCTGCCCAGCTGAGCTCCCCTGCCCAATGCACCTGCTAATTTAAACCCAGAGACACCTTCCCCAGCCCAGTAATTTATTATTGATGTTCCCGGGCCCTTGGGCAGGCAGATGCAGAGGTGCACTGCTGAAATGCTGTTTGAATAAGCAATTCAAGACCAGCTATAAATTGTGTTGCATTTGTACAACACAAAGTGGCTGAAAGAGGTGAGCTGGTCCAACCCAATGTGACTTGATGGGAGATGGACTAGATGATCTCCAAAGGTCCCTTCCAGTCCTAATGAATCTGTGATTCTTTGTGACTTCATGAACACAACACACTTTTCCCAGCATGGCAGAAAGTATGTAATGAGGCAGAGAGGAGGAGAGGAGTGGAAACTAGAGGGGAGGAACTTGGGAACTGAGGGAGCATTGCTTCCCTGGAGTCTCTTTTGTTGCAGAACTGGTTACAGTTTCTTTCTTCTCTTTGAATAATTCAGGCTCTGTAGAGCACTGTTTGTCCTAGCAGGGAGTTCTCCCATAGCAAGCAATAAGTGCAGCTGGGACCGTGGGGCCAGCCAGCTCCCAGCACTACCTACCTGTATGCCTGTAGCAGGGCTTCTCTGGGTGTAGTTCCACCCAGTTAAGTTGAGCAGCAGCTACTCTCACTGCTAACTCAAGGACTGCCCAGTAAACCCTCTCACTGCCCTGGGAGCAGCTGCACCTCCTCCTCACATGGCTCAGGCTTGAATCTGGCCATCTCCACAGCTGAGCAAGAGGAGGCAATTCCTCCCAGTTTCTCACTCCAGACCGCTGGCCCACTGGGGCTTGCTGACAGCCAGTGCAGCAAGGGCACCTCTGTGGAAAGGAGCACAGGTCCAGCACAATCACATGCATTGAAACAGGCTTTCCCATTTTCAGAGGGCACGCAGAAAATGAACCTCAGTAGGCTAATTGCCAGACATCAGAGGTGTAAATGTTTTCAGGGATGTGTAGAATCATAGAATCATAGAATGGTTAGAGTTGGAAAGGACCATAAGATCATCTAGTTCCAACTCCCCCATAGGCAGGGACACCTCACACTAAATCATATCACCCAAGGCCTCGTCCAACCTGGTCTTGAACACTGCCAGGGATGGAGCATTCACAACCTTCCTGGGCAACCCATTCCAGTGCCTCACCACCTAACAGGAAAGAACTTCCTCCTTGTATCCAATCTAAACTTCCCCTGTTTAAGTTTTAACCCGTTACCCCTTGTCCTATCACTACAGTCTCTAATGAAGAGTCCCTCCCAGGCATCCCTATAGGCCCCCTTCAGATACTGGAAGGTTGCTATGAGGTCTCCACGCAGCCTTCTCTTCTCCAGGCTGAACAGCCCCAACTTTCTCAGCCTGTCCTCATACAGGAGGTGCTCCAGTCCCCTGATCATCCTCGTGGCCCTCCTCTGGACTTGCTCCAACAGTTCCATGGCCTTTTTATGTTGAGGACACCAGAACTGCACACAATACTTCAGGTGAGGTCTCACAAGAGCAGAGTAGAGGGGCAGGATCACCTCCTTCGACCTGCTGGTCACACTCCTTTTGATGCAGCCCAGGATACGGTTGGCTTTCTGGGCTGCGAGTGTACACTGCCGGCTCATGTTCATTTTCTCATCAACCAACACCCCCAAGTCCTTCTCTGCAGGGCTGCTCTGAATCTCTTCTCTGCCCAACCTGTAGCTGTGCCTGGGATTGCTCCGACCCAGGTGTAGGACCTTGCACTTGGCATGGTTAAACTGCATGAGGTTGGCATCAGCCCACCTCACAAGTGTGTCAAGGTCCCTCTGGATGGCATTCCTTCCCTCCAGCGTATCAACCGAACCACAAAGCTTGGTGTCTTCGGCAAACTTGCTGAGGGCACACTCAATCCCACTGTCCATGTCAGCCATGAAGATGTTAAACAAGACTGGTCCCAACACGGGTCCCTGAGGGACACCACTTGTTACTGGTCTCCAGCCGGACATTGAGCCATTGACCACAACTCTTTGTGTGCAGCCATCCAGCCAGTTCTTTATCCACCGAGTGGTCCATCCATCAAATTGATGTCTCTCCAATTTAGAGACAAGGATGTCTTGTGGGACAGTGTCAAACACTTTACACAAGTCCAGGTAGATGACATCAACTGCTCTACCCCTGTCCATCAGTTCTGTAGCCCCATCATAGAAGGCCACCAAATTGGTCAGGCAGGATTTCCCCTTAGTGAAGCCATGCTGGCTGTCACCAAGCACCTTGTTGTTTTTCATGTGCCTTAGCATGCCTTCCAGGAGAATCTGCTCCAAGATTTTGCCAGGCACAGAGGTGACACTGACTGCTCTGTAATTCCCCGGGTCATCCATTTTCCCCTTGAAAATGGGGGTTATATTTCCCTTTTTCCAGTCATCAGGAACTTCACCTGACTGCCATGATTTCTCATCAAATATGATGGCCAGCGGCTTAGCAACTTCATTTGCCAGCTCCTTCAGGACCCGCGGATGGATTTCATCAGGACCCATGGACTTGTGCACGTTCAGATTTTTAAGATGGTCTCAAACCAGATCCTCTCCTACAGTGGGCGCAAGGTCTTCATTCTCACAGTCCCTGTGTCTGCCTTCCAAGACTTGGGTGGTTTGGTCAGAGCCTTTGCCAGTGAAGACCGAGGCAAAGAAGTCATTCAGAACCTCAGCCTTCTCCAAATCCTGTGTAGCCAGTTCTCCCGAGAGCTTCCTGAGGGGGCCTACGTTCTCCCTCATCTGTTTTTTATTTGTTATGTACCTATAGAATACCTTCCTGTTATCCTTTACATCCCTAGCCAAGTTTAATTCTAACTGGGCCTTAGCTTTCCTAACGTGGTCCCTAGCTTCCTGGACAACATCACTGTACTCTTCCCATGCCACCTGTCCTTGCTTCCACTTACTATAAGCCTCTTTTTTCATTTGAAT